ACTTATAGACAAACCATGGCCACTTGCTGGGACTCAGACGTGCCTGATCGGTAAATAATTCATACTCTTTCAAAAGCTGTAGTACTTGTGAATAATATACATATTAAGTTGACTCAATTTAAAAAATATATGCGACCGCGGTAGGTGGTGACCCTACGGAGCAGGGAAGGCTTCACGCACTTGGGCCAGCTGGGCCATTCAAATATTCCAAACCCCCTTAATAATATCAATATTATCAGGCGGATGCTAGCGCTGCGATTTTCACCTATGAATGTTGCATTAAAAGTGTCCAGAGGTGTAATCTACTGATCTGCTTGATCGATCATGGACGTGAAACCTCAATCGAACTGGCTTGTACACCGTTTATTATATAGGGCATTTAACGTAGACAATTCGACTTTCATATTGTGGCGCTCAGTTCATTCTGAGACAGGACCTCGGAAAGTGGACCAAGGTCACCAAACTAAAGGAGATCCATATGTCTTCCGCGATTCCCCCATCCACAGACGCCGTGTTGCTCTCGTCAAGGATGCTAAATTCTCTGCCCTGCATTCTTTTATATTTCCCATGCCCTGCTATGCGAAATCTCATTTTTATGACAGAGACTGTTAAGCATATGTAACGCCTTGTTCGTCATTCCACTCTGATGCGCAATTGCATGCGTTCTTTCTCTCTCCTAAGCTTTTCAATAATCGTATTTGCGTTTCGTTTTTTCTGAATGAAGATGAAAAACATAAAAATGTGAGCCCCATGCTAATGTAATTTTACCTGATGATCGAGCATTTGCATCTGTGCAGTTCAGTTAAAGGCAATATTAGTCTGCAGGTTGAACATGCTATTTTGCCATAGCAATTCGATAGATAAAAGCAGACCTCCAAAATAGCAATCAGAACCACACTAAGGAAACGTAGTAATTGAGAAGGTTAAGGTGACGGCGGCGATCACTTGACATATTAAATGTGGTTGCGACTCAGTGAAAATGCTTAGAGCGTTTTCAGGAGCTATAAGTATTCGCATGAAACCTTCTGCATGTTTCATTTTACCCTGAATTCTCTTCCATTTCCTTTAAGTTATCATTAAGCGACTTGTGAACGAAGCGGGGTTGTCATTTTATCTGAAACTTTTGGAGGAATATACCCAATTAAAAATTGATAAAGGTTTAGGCATGTAAGCTTCTGAAACTGCAGCCGTGAAACGAAGCAGTTTTGATTTAGAGCGATTGAGCGGTTCTCCTGGTTAATTTGTATATGCATATTTGAAAGGTGACAGACAAGGAAATCTCTTGAGGACCCTATAAATTTGATCAAATCATTATCCTTGTTACAGTTTAAGGCATGTACTGTCACTATCGGTCAGTAATTGGGCAAACTGGCCAAACCTGTTGGCAGTGGGCTGATCGATTTTGTCTGGTTCTCTGCCTCGACCCTTATATGGGTTAATTGCGTAGCTTAATGGCCGCTTGTGCTGCGCTTCGTCACCATGCTGGAGAATGCTGATAAGCTTGCTTCCTAGCACAAATGCTTCGAACGTTCATTTGAAGGCAACATCCGTTACTTAGATCACACATTATCTCTTAGGGCGAACGACT